AAGGCGCTCCTACGATTATATCTCCCTTATTCAATGAATTTGAGTAGGGGAGAGAAAAAGAGAGTCCAAAAATTATTTTGTGTGCCAAACAATACACGAAAAAAAATTTAAAGTATATTTTTCTCACCAAAGAAAATTGTGTAACTTTAAGAAAATGTTTAAAGAAATTTTGACACACTTATTTTGAGATTGACTCACTAAAATATTTTAGACAGAGAAAAAATGATTTTTCAACTGACTCAAAAATAATTTTTATCCCTTAGAAATTAAATTGTTTTGTGCACAAGATATTGTCATCCTTACAAGAATCCTAGACACAATAAAAATTAAAAAGTCTTCGGAGTCTTCACATCACTTCGGAAAACTGCGTTGGGGGACCGTTGATTTTTATCCCATAACTTTCTTGATACGCCTCTTTTCTTTTCTCGGTACGAAAAGTAAATTTTCGATCATCGTTTGAATTTCATCATCCTGTTTGTCATTTATCAAAACAAAAATATTTCAGAAAAATAATAAAGGGGTTTGAACTCATGTCCAACAAAATATACCTGACTCGAATTGTATCCGAACCAAAATTTATCCGAACCGATTTATAACCGAACCGTATCTAAACCGACTCGAATCCGAACCGAACCGAAAAATGTATAGAACCGAAATCAAATCCGAACAGAAATTTAACCGATCCGAACCGAACCGAACCGATTATAACATATAACCGAAAGATATCCGAACCGAAAAAATCCAGTCCAAAACCGATCCGATTGATCCGATTGCCACCTGTAAATGGCGTGTATTAATTGCCTTTTATTACTTTCCATGTAAACATCACAATTACCATATGTAATAGCATAACATCTTTTAAAACGGAAATTTAAAATTTTTAAATGAAAATTTTAATTTTTTTTTAATAGTATTCTTTTCGTTCCAAACAAATTTCAACTCTATTTATATTTTTCAACATTTACGGTATTAATACCATTTTATTAATGAAATAAAATATTATTGGAACGGAAATTAATAGGCTTTTATTACTTACCATGTAAATTAAACATTACCATATGTAATGACCTAAAATATGGGCGGGAAAACCATTACCCCACATCACCTCTTTTTAAATAAAGTATGGATATGGATGGATATTTAGAGCATGTTCTTTAGGAATGGAAAAAAAGAGTTTGATGTTGGAAGAAACTGGAATAATTAGAAGAAATTGGAAGGAATAGGAAGAAACTAGAAAAAACTGGAAGGAACTGGAAAAAAATGGAAGGAAATGGAAGAAAATGGAAAAAATGGAAGGAACTGGAAAAACTTCAAAAAATTGGAAAACCTGAAAAAAACTTTAAAAAAATTTATTTTAAATTCTTGTTTTTATAAATAATAATAATTAATATTAATATTATTATTATAATTATTATTATTATTATTATCATCATCATCATAATCATCATCATCACGTTATCTTAATGAATGCTTTTAAGATACCAAAAAGGTATTGTTGTTTTCAAATACAAAATACTACTTTTGAAAAAAAATAATTATAGTACTCCGTATGAAGTTAGCATAAATATCAAAATATTAAATTTTAAAAAGTTTTTGTGGTAGCGTTGCACCTCAATTTATTTATGCAGCATTTATTATAAATAATATATTTGTAATTATATTTTATATATTACAAGATTTTGTTTTAAATATCATGCATGTCACATAATGTAATCAAACCTATTTTTTCTTTCATGATTGTCATTTTATTTTCATTAAAGTCCTATTTTTTGGAATAAAGACATAGAACTTGTTTTTTTTAAAGATTTTTTATGTTTTACTCCAAGTTTAGTCATTTTCTCTAAACTATTTTGACATACAATTTTTTTAAATAAAAATTAGAAAAATGAGCAAATATTAAGAAATAAAGGGAAATGTGAGAGGTCTTATATAAAGTTAAATTAATAAAAGATTCTATGTCACTATTTTATCCATAGTTTTTTTAAATATACTTTAACATATTGATGATTTCTTGTTTTATCATGTAGATTAATATACAAAAAATTGTCTTATTCATATTAAAAGTTGAAAAAATGAGTGTGAATCGTAAAAATAGTGAGATAAAAAAATAATTTATAAACTATATCATTTTTAGAGTAATTAGTTGGGGAGTAGAATGAGTTTGAAGAAAATGAGAATAGTTGGAAGAAACTAGAAGTAACTGGAAGAACTGGAAGTAACTAGAAAGAACCGGAAGAAACTGGAAGTTAAGAGTTCAAGCCCTAAATAACAGGCTCTTAAAAGTATTTTTTGTTAAGTATATTATTTTACTCCCTCCGTCCCACAAAACCATTTCCTTTGTTTTTTCATCCGTCCCAAAAAACCCTTCTCTTTTCTATGAAAAAGTCATTTTTATCCCTATTAATTCTTAACCTACCTATCATATCACACATTTTCTCTATTAATCTACTCTCTGACTACCCATCTCATCTTACTTTATCCATCACATAGAAAGGCATTTTTGGAAGTTAACACCAAAATACATTCTCCTTAAATCCTTTAAAAGTCAAAAAGGGAAGTTTTTTAAGGGACGAAGGGAGTAGAATACAAACAATATATAGTAGACCAGAACATGAATATTCGGTAAAACACGGCCGGTCTCAAGCGTAGGCAATGTCATCAATGGGTCGCGTTCGGGGGGAATCACGACATTTCTAAATCGTACCAGTTTAGCCAACAGGTCTTGATATTATATATTTTCTTTGCCCCGTAAACTTTCCAATTTTCTCATCTTACATGTCTCATAAAATATTTAAATGTGGTATAAATGGATACAATTTTCTTTATTTTCTTAAATAAATGCACACAATTGTTTTATTTTCTTAAATCTAACCAAACTTATCCCAACTAACCTCTATGCCCTACCTGTTTTGGCATTTCTTGAACTTCACTCATTTCAATTGTCGTCGTTTCAATTTAGTCAAAGTTTTATGACTTCTCTTCCCAAAAGTCAAAATAGGAAATGTTTTGCGAGATAGAAAAAGTACTAGATTTAGAGTTGTTCTTTAGGATTGGAAAAAAAGAGCTAGATGCTGGAAGAAACTGAAAGTTAAGAGTTTAAGCTCTAAAGAACATGCTCTTAGAGTTATTGAGTCTTGATATCGGGTGAGGTATACCCTTATAAAAGTTAATGCTCTAGGCACGTAGTGAAAATACTATAAAAGAAAAATATATCCAAATTAAATAATATAAAACAATACTAGAAAATTTTACAAATAATAAAGGGAATAAAAATTAATAATCCGAACTTATAAAACGTTCAGATTTTAAAACGAAAATAAAATAAAGAAAATTGGAATCTTTGAAAGCTGGAACACGAACGGACAGGAGCAAGAACACGAACGGGCAAGATGAAGAACACGAATGTCACAAGCAAGAACACGAACAACAGAGGCGGCACGTACGTCGGACGGATGGTAGCGGGTCGCCCGAGCAGTTTCTTTAAGTGGAGATTAGGAAAGCGGACTCGCCGGAACTTTCCTTAAGGTAGTATTGCCCACCTCCCGCACTGGAAAACATGGGCAATCTCCTCCCAGGATAAAACCGTAGCGTGCAAAGTCTAGAGCGGTAGAACGGTGCACTGGCAAACGAGAACGACGGAAAGTTATCGCCGAAGAAGATTATCAGAAAACGGGAGAGAGAGTTGGACGTAGAGAGTACAAGGATTTTGAGTTTTTTGTATCCTCTCTGCAGCAACAGACCACTCCTTATATAGGAGATGATCTTGGGCGAATGGACGAACCTCGACAGCTTGGCGGAAGTACCGATGAGTCACCGGAGACCCTTCGGATGGATGCATGCATGCTTAATAATCGTCACTTCGTTATTAACGAAATGTACACGCGTATTTGATTTGGTCTCGTAAAAAATAGCCACGCCCCGCCGCAGGTGCGGCGCGCCTCGCCCTGCCCCGCCCCGCGCGTGCGTCGAGCTAGACAGACGGCGGAAGCGGCGCGCGAGGAGTCCATTCTTGTTCCTTTCATAAACTCAATTAAATGCTTAAGTTTAAATATGGGAATACGAAAGGTTCAAGATCCAATGTGGGACAAGAGTTTTTACTCTTTCCACGTGTTCGACTTTGTGAATTAATTTCTCATTCACCTGAGCACCATTTTTGGCGTGTAATATGTCGAAGCACTCATATCACTTACGATATTAATCGTCCATAATTATTTTTAGAATATTTTTTTGGACCCTTCCGAATTTATGTTCAAAAATGTCTAGTTTTAACTAAAATTCCAACAATCCCCCACATGAATGAAAATTTATTCATGTGAATGGAAATAACTATAAAGTTGAAATTTGTAATAGTAGGTAGGTTTAATGCCTTTGAACCTACTCCTTGTAAATTATACCTTCTTTACTAGCTGTTCAGTAGAACGTGATGTCCTTGAACTGTACTGCGTTTTACGCAAACGACGATATACAATACACAAGTTCCAACCAACCATCATTCCATTCTCATGGGTGTGCCCATTGTGGTCATGGAACACACATCTGGTTCTGCGAGAGTGTCAAACAGGATCAGCCTGAAATCCTTCTGTTGAAGCGACCGCACTTCACTCTTACATAGGTGATTCTTTTGAGAGTATCCCGATTACTCCAATTGGACCCCGTTGTCCATAGATCAAGAATCATTAAAGAATCATGCTAAACTCATCGCTTTCGGGAGTCACTATATCTCGGTAGGGATGGAGGGATGTTAAGTTGATGATCCGGCTTGTCCCCATAGTGACCATGTTTCGTCCCACAAGTAGGTTGTCCCATTAAACCTAGGTACCACCAAGGTTGGGTTTTCCTTCATGGAACGTTCCCAGCACCACCAGGTAGGGGTTTCAGACCCATTTCTATCACCAACTTCTCATTTTGTTCGTTTGTTAACCCTTTGGTTAGTGGATCCGCTAAATTATCCGTTGACTTAACATAGTCAATTGAGATAATACCTGTATTGAGAAGTTGCCTAATGGTTTTGTGTCTACGCCAATGTGCCCAGACTTACCATTTTACATATTGTTCTGAGCTCGTCCTATTGCCGATTGACAATCACAGTAGATGCAAATAGGAGTAACTGGTTTTTCCCAGTTTGGAATATCCTCAATAAAATCCTGAAGCCACTCGGCATGTTCTGCGCACTTATCTAGTGCTATAAACTCAGACTCCATGGTGGATCTGGAAATTAACGTTTGTTTTGAGGATTTCCAAGATACAGCTGCACCGGCTAACATAAAGATGAATCCACTTCTGGACTTTGAATATTTATTATCCGCCATCCAATTGGCATCAGTGTACCCTTCCAGCACGGGTGGATACCTGCCATAACATAGGCTATAATCTCGAGTATACCGAAGGTATCTCATCACTCGGACTGTGGCTTTCCAGTGCTCAGTGCTTGGATTACTAGTATACCTACTTAGTTTGCTAATTGCGCAAGCTAAATCTGGTCGTGTGCAGCTCATGAGATACATTAGACTTCTGATAACTCTAGCGTACTCTGTTTGAGAATCGATACTCCCCCGGTGTTTACCAAGGTGAACATTTACATCTATCGGCGTCTTAGCTATCTTTGTATCATCCTTGTTGAATTTCTCAAGGATTTTGTTAATGTAGTGGGATTGGCTCAAGCTCAGACCATTTGGTCTTCTTATTATTTTGATTCCGAGAATCACATCAACCAGACCCAAATCTTTCATATCGAATCGTGCGTTTAACATATCCTTGGTGGACTTAACCATCCTGTCGTTGCTTCCAACGATGAGTATGTCGTCTATATACAGACATAGAATGACATATCCTTCAGATGTGTCCTTAAAGTGCACGCACTTATCCGACTCATTTATCTTAAAACCATCGTTCATCATAACTTGGTCAAACTTATCATGCCATTGTTTTGGCGCTTGTCACCGTATAATGATTTCACAAGTTTGCAGACCTTCTTTTGTTGGCCCGGAACCTTAAACCCCTCAGGTTGTTCCATATAGATTTCTTCATCTAGTTCGCCATTTAGAAAAGCTGTCTTTACATCGATTTGGTAAACATCCTCGTTTCGTAAGGATGCAAATGCGATGATCATTCTGATAGAATCTATCCTAGCCAAGGGCGCGTAAGTATCAAAGTAGTCATATCCCACACGTTGGCTATAACCCTTGATCACAAGTCTAGCTTTGTACTTGTCAATGGAGTCGCCAAGCTTCATTTTCCTCCGAAAGACACATTTAGAACCTAATGGCTTACACCCTGGAGGGAGATCAACCAATTCCCACATGTGATTCTGAAGAATAAAATCAACTTCACTTTTTATGGCTTCTTGCCACTGAGGTCCTTCAGTTGAGGTTACGGCCTCGTGATAGCTTCGTGGTTCCTTTTCTACCAGACAGGTTAGAATATCGGGTTCATTCTTCCTTAAAAATGACAAAGTTCCTTTGTCAAATTCTATCAGATATGTTATGAAGTCAGAACCGAACATCTTTTCAATTCGTATTCTTTTATTTCGTCTCAATTCAGTTTCATGTTCCACTTCATCATCGTCACGAGAACTCAACTAATTTGGACCATCGTTACCCATCATCTGAGTATGAGAACGTTTGGACGAACTAGCTTCGTCACTTGACTTGCACGGAAAAATGTGCTCGAAGAACATTGCATTCCGTGACTATGATTGTGTTCTTGTGAATTTCGGGATTATCTGATTTGTACACCAAGAACCGGTATGATGTACTATTTTACCCAATGAAGATTCCATCAAATGTCTTTGGACCGATCTTCATCTTCTTTGGATGTGGTGCAAGTACTTTCGCGAGACACCCCCACACTTTGAGATATTTTTAGGAAGGTTTTCTATTATGCCAGAGTTCATACGAAGTTTTGTCAAGTTTCTTACAAGGTATTTTATTTAGTAAATAGTTACTTGATAAAACAGCCCCCCACATGTTCTGGGGTAATCCAGAACTAAGTAGCATCGCATTCATCATGTCTTTCAGAGTGCGATTTTTCCGCTCTGCTACACCGCTAGACTGCGGTGTATAAGGTGGGGTTACTTGATGCACTATTCCATGTTGTGCACAAAACTCATTAAGTGGAGCATCATACTCACCACCTCTATCGCTTCTCAACGCTTTGATCTTGCAATTGAGTTGATTTTCCACTTCATTCTTATATCGAACGAAAGTGTCTAACGCTTCATCTTTACTTTTCAGTAAATAGATATATCAATATTTTGTGCTATCATCGACGAAGGTAATAAAGTATTTGTTACCTCCTCTTGAAAGCGTTGTTCGAAAATCACACAAGTCGGTGTGAACCAACTCTAGAGGTTGAGTATTTCGTTCGATCATTTGAAATGAACTTCAAGTTGATTTTGCCTCAACACAAGTTTCGCACTTGTGAGTTAAGTCAATACTAAACTTAGGACTGTGTTCCATGTTAATTAATTTCTGGAGAGATGCATAATTAACATGTCCCAGTCTACCATGCCATAAACTAGAAGACTCACACACATAAGCAACATGATTTTTATTGATTTTTTCATGAATAGACATTACATTTAGCTTTACAAGCCCATCGGAAATATAACCTTTTCCTATAAAAATCCCTTTCTTGGACAAGATTAGCTTATCTGATTCAAACACCATCCGAAATCCGTGTTTGATCAGCAATGACCCCGACATTAAATTCTTGCGAATGTCTGGCACATAGAGCACGTCGTTAAGCGTTAGCGCTTTTCCGGAGGTCATTTTGAGCTTAATCGTACCGATCCCTTGAACCTCTGATTGGGCCAAGTTTCCCATCCAGACCTTGTCACCGGAGGTCTCTTGGAATTCGTGAAACATGCCCCAATTGGAGAAAATATGGCATGTGGCCCCTGTGTCCACAAACCATTCCCTTGGGTTTGACCCGACGAGATTCACCTCGGTGACAAATGCGTAGAGGTCCAAGTGGTCGAGCTCGGCGCACATGGCTTCGGTGGTTTTCTTCTTGTTTTTTTGTGGCTTCTTTTTCCTACAATTGGAGGAACGAGGCCCGCTAATTCCACAATTGTAGCACTTCCCTGCAAATTTAGAAACGCCACCCTTAGGACCTATTTTCTTTTTGTCCTTCCCGCCAGTTGAAGAGCCCGACGGATGTTCTACTACATTCGCCTTTTCCCATCCACCTCTTCTGACAAGCCCTTCCTCTCGGATTCTCAACCGTGTGAGCAGTTGCTCCAGGTTCAGCTCAGTTCTTTTGAGCTTGAGATCGACTTGGAAGTCTTCCCAAGAGCGTGAAAGTTTTTGAATGATGGCCGCCACTTGAAAGGCCTCACAGACGCCTAATTTCTCTTCATTGCATTTATTGAAGATTATTGTAAGCTCCTCGGCTTGGGCGACAACAGATTTGATGTCAACCATCTTGTAGTCCAGCATCTTCCCGATGATGAACTTCTTTGTGCCGGCATCTTTAGCTTGATACTTTTTGTTCAAGCTATTCAAAAGCTCCTTTGCAAGCTTTGCACCAGCATAGACGGGGTACAATGTCTCAGCCAACCCCTCGAGAATGTAGTTGATGGTGAGATAGTTATTATGGTACCATGCTTGGTTCACCATCGCCACAAGGGGGTCGTTGCCGTCGTTCGCCTGGGGAGGATCTTGCTGTAGGTACTCGGCAAAACCCAGGACGGTAAAAAAGAACGTCATATTTTGTTGCCACATTTTGAAGTTCGTGCCATTGAACCTTGGTGACCTTTGGACCGTACTTGCAGGCACTGATATCGGCCCAACATCATTGGGCGTATGGATGAAAGGTACGAAGTTGGATTGACCGGTTCGTTGAATCCCGCGTTCGGTCCGAAGTTGACTGTTGTGGTCGAAGCCATAGACGGTCCGAGGAACGGGTTCGTATTACCAACGGGGTAACCCCACGTGGTTTCAAGCCCGGGAATGGGTCGAGGAGCCGACTCGAAGATTGAGCTCGGCATCGAGAAGGATGTCATGGTGGCATCCCCCACACTTGACAAGAAGGGCAGCGGTTAGGACGGCACAACCATGGAAACCAATGAAGTTGCAACCAGAGCTTCGGAACTCATCATGTTGGCAGAGGAACCCATGATGCCGAATCCGAAATCCATGAAAAAATACTACCTTAAGATTGTTACAAATAATAGCGGGAAAAAAAAAATTAATAATCCAAACTTATAAAATGTTCGAATTTTACAACGGAAATAAAATAAAGAAAATTGGAATCTTCGGAAGCTCGAACATGAACGGGCATGAGCGAGAACACGAACGGGAAAGAGGAAGAACACGAACGACACAAGCATGAACACGAACAGCAGAGGCGGCAGGTACGTCGTCAGACACATGGTAGCAGGTCGCAGGAGCAGTTTCTCGAAATAGAGATTAGGAAAGCGGAGTCGCCGGAGCTTTCCTTAAGGTAGTATTGCCTGCCTCCCGCATTGGCAAACGTGGGCAATCTCCTCCCAGGATAAAACCACATCGTGCAAAGTTTAGAGCGATAGAATGGTGCACTGGCGAACAAGAACGACGGAAAGTTGTCGCCGGAGACGATGATCGGAAAAACAAGAGAGAGAGTTAGACGCAGAGAGTACAAGGATTTTGAGTTTTTCGTATCCTCACTGCAACAACAGACCACTCCTTATACAGGAGATGATCTTGGGCGAATGGACGAACTTGGACAGCTTGGCGGAACTACCGAGGAGTCATGGGAGACCCTTCGGATGGATGCATGCATGCTTAATTCCCGTCACTTTGTTATTAACGAAATGTACACGCGTGTTTGATTCAGTCTCATAAAAAATAGCCACGCCGCAGGCGCGATGCGCCTCGCCCCGCCACGACGCGCGCGCGTGTCGAGCCAGACAAACGGCGACGGCGGTGCACGAGGAGTCCTTTCTTGTTCCTTTCATAAACTCAATTAAATGCTTAGGTTTAAATATGGGAATACGAAAGGTTCAAGATTCGGTGTGAGACAAGGGTTTTTACTCTTTCAACGTGTTCTACTTTGTGAATTAATTGCTCATTCACCCGAACACCATTTTTGGCGTGTAATATGTCGAAGCACTCATTTCACTTATGAGATTAATCGTCCATAATTATTTTCGGAAAATATTTTTTTGGACCATTCCGAATTTATGTCCAAAAATGTCAAGTTTTAACTAAAATTCCAATAGAAAATAGTTCCTAGAAATTTGTTAGATAAAAAAATTACTCCCTCTCTCCCAATTTATAGTGCCTGTTTCAATTTATGATGTTTGACTGAAAATATTTCCAAATTATTTTATATGATAGCCTTCGAAGGCTGAACCTTAGTAGTCCAAGAATGTAACAAGGTAAAGTGATTCCGAACTAAGGGGGCCGGATCAACTCGCCAAACGAAAAATAAAGTGATCAAAGGAATTGATAAACAAAAACCAAGACCTAGACCCAAAGGCCGGAGGTCCCGAGCTAGCATCCTTTGTCAAAGAGGTCAAAGGATAATAGCGGCGACAATGAGTAAGTATATGGTACAACTGGTTGTACCTAAAAATAGGTACATCCGGGTAGTACTCATTCTGAAGTAAAGTAGTACTCATTCTCGCACAAACATAACAATTTATTGAAAATAGCGTGGTACTCATTCTGAAATAACACAGTACTCATTCTGAAATACGTAATACTCATTTGCACACATTTGTACAATATTCATTTATTAATAACGTAATACTCATTCTAAAACCTAGTAATACTCATTCTCAAATAATCTAGTGCTCATTCTTAAACATACCATTCATAAAAATCCAAAATCCAAAATCTTAAAATTGGAATTAGAACATACAGAGTATTTGGAATTAGAGCTTTGCCTACCGGATTTGCGGATCGGGAGAGCTCCTTCATCGCCGATAGATTTCGCAGATCTTCCTTCTTCCTCCCGACCGATTTTGCCCAAAACTGCCGCAGATCTCCTTCTTCATCGCCTCAGATCGATTTCGCCTTCCGCAGCTCTCCTTCGACCCAGCTTCCGACCCTCCTCTTTTCTCCTCCGATCGACGCCTTTTCTACTGGCTGTACCCAATTTTGGGTACAGCCGGTTGTATGGTATAATTTGCGGGCGACAATCGAGATCCCAAAAATTTTATAAGACATAGGTTTGTACGAACACAAATGCCAATGGAGTGGTAATGCTCTAGGATCCCATTAAGAGTTGTATGTAGCATGCAGGTCATTTGACTAACATGAAAAATATTGATGACCCGCGGCCCAATTAATACACAATAGCTAGTATTATTACCATGCATGCATAGATAGCTCTCTCTCTCTCTCTCTCTCTCTCTCTCTCTCTCTCTCTCTCTCTATATATATATATATATATATATATATATATATATATATATATATATATATATATATATATATATATATATATATATATATATATATATATATATATATATATATATATATATATATATATATATATATATATATATATATATATATATATATATATATATATATATATATATATGGATGATGGGTTTAGAGAGAAGATATCTGCACGAAAGACGAAAATCCTATAGATTTTGGATCAATTATGATGTTCTTCGGTGGATTTGCAACTGTCTAGATGGAATAATCCTCAACCCCACGGCTAGCCTGCGATCTGAGGAACACAGTGAAGGTAGCAAGCGATATTGTCTCTATCTTGATGCCAATTCTTCTGGGTTTTACATTCGAATTCAAGAATTGAGGATTGATGGTTTTACCTCAATAGTTATTCCTGAGGGTTCCAACAAAAGTGGTATTAGGCTTTTTGTTGCTAAATTAAGGCAAATTGGTTCTTCCATTAGAGACTCTTGTAAGTTTTTTTTAGATTATGATATTTGCCAGAACTGGAGTACGAGTCATGAGTCAGAATTTTCACAGCCTTCTATTTCTAAGGCTTTGTTTGATGTTGATATCCTGGTTGATCCAGTTGTGAATATTGGAAAATACAATGGACATCTTAATGCTGTTCCAGGCTCTGATTTGGGTCAGCTTTCGAACTCCATTCTTTCTACCAAACCTCAGATGGCTATGGTTGAATACACTGCTTCAACTGAACTAAACAGTGCGGTGTTTTTGAAGATACAAACTAAGGAAAAGGATTTGGAAGGGGTTGCAAAACAAATCGTTGATTCTAAACGAATGGCGATTGAGACCAACTCTCCAGAGTATAAGGCTAATTTTGCTAGGTTTACGAAGATCGCTCAAGAATGCATGGAACCTTGCTCCATAACCACCCGAAGTAGAGCCAAAAAAAAAAAAATAGTTATCCTTGGAAATCCTACTCTCCCTGGAATCAATGCTTTTTGTTCAGGGGAAGGGAATCACGAGGCAAAAGCTACTGAACAAGTAGCTATTTCTGATTCTAGGGCTGCCAAAGACTGTAGTTCTGAGGCTGCAAATCAGGTTTCAAACACACCAAATGAAAAGAGTGTTGTACCTAACTCGAACATTCTCATTGGCAACAAATTCCAGGCCTTGGAGGATTCTATACTCTTACAAAATGAAGAAGAGAAGGAACTTCCAAGGTCTAAACAACAAAATAACTCCGGGACCAAAACAACGAGCTCCAAAATAATACACGAGGAAGGATTTCTATCATACTCAACAGATCCAGCCACTGGGAAGTCCATTCCCATGGTTAGTTATAAAAGCTATCATGGCCGCTATGTACTCTTAGGCCACACAGGAGAACTTCGTAAAGATGGAAAAAGAGCACATACGGCCTTACCTACACAACTCCCTCCTGACTATGATTACTCTTCAGGAACAATTCATCTGGGAATTGTAGTTTAGATGTAATTTCTTTGCTTTCTCTACCACTTTTGGGTAGTTATCTCTTTTATCTCGCTTCCTATTTTGGGTTGCGTTGTTGCTTCCCAGAGGGTTTTATTAATATATATATATATATATATATATATATATATATATATATATATATATATATATATATATATATATATATATATATATATATATATATATATATATATATATATATATATATATATATATATATATATATATATATATATATATATATATATATATATATATATATATATATATATATATATATATAA